TATATATATATATATATATATATATATATAATATAGTATTTATATTATGAATTCAAAACCCTTTTAGTATTTATAATATAGTTTTGATTCAAATGTCTAATTAACCAATAAACATTGAATCTAATTAAAATGGTGTTTGAGTGCGCTGAGAATTTAATTTAAATAGGATTCAGAAAATCCTGTAAATTCAAAATTATCATATCCAATTGTGATAAATCTAGAAAATATTTGGTATGATTTGTTAAATCCAATTTAATTCGTTTGCAATGTTTGGCGTTGCGATTGAAGAAGCGACCAGATCTTCCTCCTTAAATTTCTTAAATCCACCTATCAATCTGATATTAAAATCCGGAATTCACATTGTAACAGAGAAGAGAATGAATTTACGAAAAATGTTAGAATTTGAGGTTTTTTCAATAAGTAATTAATATTACCCTCATATTACTTTTTTTTTTTCAATAACATCTTAGTATAGAATTTATAAATAGTCATAATTATTTTTTGATATTATTAACCCGATTATTTATTGGATGTTATTAGTGAAAATGAGAAAATTGGAAGTCAACATTAATTTGCCCGACAATTAATTAGAAAATTTACGCTAACATTTATGAGCAAACTATTAATCACATTTTTCATCGAAGGAATAAATTAATAGCTCTCAAATTGTCTATTTAAATTTAACAATGAGAAGGAAAATTGACATATAAGAACTTTAATAATATCCAAGTATTGTAGAAATTATCAATTACGACTAGACATTATTTTTTTGCATTCCAACAGATAATTATTAAATATCTCTGATTAAAAATCAAAATTAATATTAAAATTTACAGTTGAGTCATCGCTGTCTTGAATTATGGAGCATGTGTTAAAACTAAGGGTCTGTTTGGGACATCTGCAACTTATTGAATGATCTGCTGATAAGTTGATTAAAAATAATCTGCTGATAAGTTAGATGCGGTAGGTATTATAAATTGTTATTTTTTTGGAAAAGTCAGAAATGTGCCACCGCACCTAGACAGGTGCTGTGTGAAAATGATGTTTCCAGCGTTTTAAAAACACGTAAGCTAATAAAACGCAGTTTACCTAAACAGGTCAGGTGCGTTTTCAAAATGCCACGCACCAAATAATCTGCCCCAAACGGACCCTAAATTTTTGGATCCCAATGATTTTGTATTTACTAATCCAGTTGTTGCAAGGGGAAGCATGTTATTGGCTGCTTGTCTTCTATCAAATTTCCCCACACGCAACTAACTCTTGTTCTGTTATATATGATTTTACTGCGACAAATGGCAGCTTGTAGTCCTAAGTGATGTTTGCGTAGTTGGTCCCGTTCTTTTTTTGCATTTAAAAAAGGTTAAAATAATGCAGAAGATTTATAAATGCAGAAAAGTCCTTGGGATTCAACGTAGGGGGGTTGTAGTTGCAATTTAGGGTATTCATATTTTAATAGCATGTAAATTACATATGTTTTATTTGAAATATTTCAGATTATTTTAATTATTATAAAATAGGGAAATTTACATGTGTAGCACCCAATTTTTATGGATTTAACATCAAAATTTTTATATTTATATGTAGAGCATTTTATCTATGTAATGAAAAAATGGATTTAACCATTAAAAATGTTGATTAGTGGTATTTGTGAAGCGGGAAGAATTGAATGTTATGCATGTCAATGTGATTATACATAACACATAACTTCTATGTATCAACATATCTAATATTTATATTTTAATACTTATGTTAATATTAATTTATTATGCATCAAAAAATGTATTTCACTTTTAGGAAATTAAAGATAATAATATTTGATGTGATAAAAATGATTATAATGGCAAAAATATAAAAATCAAAATTTAAATGATTGATAAATAAATACATAAAAAAATGTGTGATATGTGTATAAATGTCTTCAATCAATTCGGTTTTGGGTCAATCATAATTTTTTTGGTTTCCAAGGGAATTGATTGGAAATCGTGTCGACCAAACCTAATTTTAAGCCTGTTTTGCAGCAAATTAGATTTATGTTAAATAAGATGAGATAGAGCAAGCCCGCAACAATGAATAAGTCCATCTCACGTTTACATCTTAAAAGAAATAGGATGTGAGGATAAAAAGATAATGCACAAGAAAATTTGATTTAAGGGAACGTTTGATTTGATTTTTAATTTTTTTTATTTATGATTGGTTGAATAAAAATTAACTGCACGGCAAAATCTCATTAAAATTAGAAAAAAATATTACGTCAGGAATCTGAACTTAGAGCTACGTTCGGATTGTAATAGTTAGAAATATCATGTTGTGTTATAAGAATATTCCATCTGCGTTATTTATAAAAAATAAAGTATTATTTATGTATTATATAGTGTTATTCGATTATTTTGTCGTGTTATTGAAATATTCCCCCAAATTACTTGTTTTGCTTTGGGACTGATTTGAGACTGAAGTGTTATGGAAATATTCCTCCGTGTTACTTGATTCAGGGCTGTGTTATTTCAATAACACTGAAAATTAAAATAACACGGGAAATATGTCGAATAACACAACCTTAAATCAAGCAACACGGGAAATATTCCAATAACACTATATAATACTCAAATAACACATCATTTTTTATAAATAACAAAAATAAAATATTCCTGTAATTTTTTAACTATTGTAATCGTTAGAATTGTTGAAGTAACGAGTTTCGCAGAAGTAGAAGTATGCCCGTTTTTGCTGAACATTATTTTATCTTCGTACTCTGGTTTCTAGTACGCAGGTAACAGCGCCAACTGCCTCAAAGCAGAGGACTTGAATCCTCATATCGCGTTCCACTATGGCATTCCGTCGGGATCCTCCACCATGGCTTACGACTCCGTCCAGCAAATTCTTGCCTTTGCGACCAAGTGATCGCTTACCTTCTCTGCTTGTTACTTCTGTTCTTTCATTAGTCGAATTCGATGTTATCTTCTTACTTTCCTCTTACTAATGGCAGCGATGGTCGCATTAAACTGTTCGGAAGAGATAATACCCAAGCTTTGCTCCAGTCGGATGAGGCCGTACCTAGCAAATTCTTAGAGGTATTTAACTCCGCTTCAAGCTCATCAGTGTACTTTTCTGTCTTTTGCTTTTGGTCTAGGGTTTTATTTTTCTCCCGATCCAGGATTTTGGTGTTTGGGTTAAAGGCATACATGCATATCATTGCACTTTGGTGGTTAATATTGGCTCATTTTCTACATTTTTTATATTTTAATTGATAAATGCGAATGCACCATGTAGAAATCAACTTACAAGAAAGGATGACCGTGTCTTTTAAAGAAAACTTGAGGTCTGGCGCTTCTGAAATTTTTTGAGAGAAAATATTTGATTTTTGCTTATACTTTTATTTGTCTTTGATGTGATCTCCGTCTTTCTTTGGTCCTGTGTACCGAGATTTGAATGAATGTGAGAAACTCGAAGTTTGTAATTTGGATGAATATGAGAAACTCGAAGCTCAAATCAATGTCTTTTTTGTGTGTTAAGTTCAAGGCATTTTCTGAATACATCAATAGTAACTAGTTGATATAACAGCGGATATATAGTTTGAATATAGTGGTTTCATGGGTTTCACACTTTCACTGTAATGAACTGCCAAGGTGTTATGTAAATTATGTAGGCTGATAACTGGTGTTGCTAATTAACATTGCCTAACGCCTATGTTATCAAATATCTCTATATGGTTTGTTTTAATACCTCTGAAACGTCTTAGATGACTTCTTTTGGGCCTTTGTTTTGCTAGATAGATAACATCTTAGATGAAATTCATCACTCATGTATTCTGCTCTTCAATTATGGGGTCTATTTTGTTATGAATCACAAGCCATTGTATGTTCAATATGAATTTGGACACTATGAGAATTAGCTTGTTAGTTCACTTGACAGTATGATAAGCAGTATTCTTGTTTCATTGACCTACTTTATGTTGTATTTATATTTGACATATTATTTTACTTGTACCACTAAAGTTAAATTTTTATTTTTTTTATCCTGTTATCTCATCCAGAACTTTCATGTCAATGCAGTTTTTTGAGAATCAAGGTATCCTCCTAAATGTCAATACCAATAATCACATCGAGGTAAGTTTTCTTTGATGTTATAACCATTGTCGATCATTATTTGTCATCACTTTTCACTATTTTTGCATGCAAACAACTTTTTCCTTTGAGTTTTGGTCTACTGCAGAATTTATTTACTTAACAAGGATCATAATATATATGAGAGCAAATCTACCTGCACGTTTTATAATTACTAGAACTGTCCATTTTTTCAGTCTTACTTGCTAGAGCATTTGTGTTACTTGTATTGCTTTCATGCTTAATTGATGGTTTTCTCATCCTTTGCTAGTGCATATTCTACTTCCTTCTATTTCGTGCTTCTATTTACTGCAAACATGCATTTCTGTAAACTTCTTCTGACATGTTATTATTCATTTTTGGAAAGTATGTTTATTTTCGTTTGCTAAACGCTTTGGGAATTTAAGCCCTCTTTCATGTCTGAAGTAGTATGTTGTTGTACTTGGTGTTCATGTTCGTTTGTTTATTTAACTATATTATCGATGCAAAAACATGCATTGTATAGGTGTGGGATGTTGATGCTCAACAACTATGTCATTTTTACACGTTCAATGAAGAAATAACATCATTTTCTATTATACAACGGTCTTTGTTCATGTAAGTAATCCTTCTGTGCTTCTAATTTCTTGTCTATGCCACCTTAGATTCAAAATATCAATTTATCTTAGAGCAATGACTCTTTATAGGTATGTTGGGACTTGTGTTGGAGATATTTCAATCTTAAAACTTGATCAGAGACAACGAAAGTTACTTTGCATGCAATATAGAATTCCTTTCATTGAGTCTTATGGTAAAACTTTGTTCTGACAGAATTCCCACATTTTCTATACTATTTTCTTAAGTTACTCCTATATATAGAGCTGAATTTACCTGCTTTATAATTATAAAGGATGTATATTTATTTTTATTATGTTTACTAAAGGCCAAGAGATTAAATGACAGTCAATGATCTTTTACTTTAACTGGGTAAGCAGAACGTAATGTAGTTACTTTATGTTCGCATGAGCACAATGACTGTCTCTACATATCCAATTAAAATAAAGATAACATTTTCTTTTATTCAATGCCTATGCTTGTAGTAAGCATAATGAAAATAAATACACTTTTTTTTCCAAATTAAAGTTGTAGTTGTTATCCCATCATTCCAACTTACAACTTCTTGTTTTTGTCTTTTTAGGTAATGTTACAGAAAGTGTTTATCAAATTCCAGTTACACATATCTTGCCACAACCTATGGCTGAGATGAGGAGGTCAGATTATCTTTTTCTCTCAACCTTAGAAATTCCTCCACTCCTACTCACCCACAAAAAATAAATGTATTGGCCAGTTAAGCAATCTGTGGCACGCGCTAAAAGACACACATAAGCATGACTGAATGCATATGCATTAATGGATGCACTCTTGTAGACATCCTTATGCACATCTTATTGTAAAATAAGTGAATTTAATGATTTATTCAGCTTAAATTTGTGTGACTGCATGTATATATTCACATATAATAATTTTTTTCTTAATATCCTGAGGACAACTTAATATTTAGAAGATCTTCCATGACTTATCATTTTTTAGGATTACTGTTTCTCTCATTCAGCTTCATTTCAAATCAATCTTAATCAAATACTTGTATAAATTATAGACTATAGCATTAGTGAACCAAGAGCTAGAATCTTAATGCCAACCTGAAATTGTCAGGGAGCCTGCTAAGAATCATGTGCTTCTCTATTTTTTTATCCATCAATGGGAAGTGTTAATGTAATGCTCAATATTATTTTCCCCAATAACTCTACTGTTATAGCCTTGGAGGAGTTGTATTGAGTAGGAGAGGGCTCTTGCGAACTTGAAAGAAGAGACAAAAATAGTTTGAAAGAGCAAGTGCAAGCAGTTGAGGGTTGTGGCTTGATCGCACTATGGATTCATTCGGCGACTTTGGCCACGAACGCGTTTGTGAAGTCGAGTGACTTATTTTGGTGAGAGAGAATGAGGCAATCGAAGGCTGGGGCTTTCCCCATGCATGCGATATTGGGGACGAGGGCGACACAAGCAATCAAGCAAAGTTGTTGTGGGGATTTGATTGGCAACAAAGCAGAGGAAAAGGGCAGTCAAGGACTGCATGCTCGACAAAGAAGAGATCGAGCAGGTCTTGGGTCGAATCGAATGCGTGTGGTGTTTGATAATGCGTGCAAGTGATTGTCATTGTCGCAGGCGAGTAAAGGCTTGAAGTTGTGAACACATGCAGCTTTGCAGGGAGAGTGGATTAGATTTTTATTTTTAGGCATCTTGTATAAGTATAAACCAATATGCTCTCAAATTTATGTTTAAATGGTTATCATAACATAATAAATAAATAAATTTTGCATTTTTTTTCTAATTATATATATTATTAGATTTATTAGATTTATTAGTTTTCCATAGCCGTTATTATTTATTAATTACCTTTATTTTGTATTATGTAGTTTTCTTTTTATCTTTATTCTGATTTTATTTCTTAAACGTGTTTTTATTTCTTTCTTTATTTGAGTCCTTGGGTTTAAATACCCCTCTTTGTATCATGGAGAACAAGGAGCTCTATTCCACAATTTAACATGGTATCAGAACCTAACCTTAGATCCCAGCCACCGTGCTCTTCTTTAGTAGCCGCCTGCCTTACTTGCAGGGCATCCCGTAGTTTTTCCTAGCATCGAACCCCTTTGGTTGGTTTTCTCAGCCACTGGTCTGCTCTGCATCCGACAAGATCTTCCTGGTTTCCAGCAGTCCAACTTCTCTGATTTTCTGCAGGACCTTACTGCTGGAGGTGCAACTATCTTGCCACATTCTCTGCAGGTCCTTCCCGTTATCTTTTGGTGTATGTTCCCTACAGCAGTCTTGCTTCCTGATTTCCAACGGTCTAACTTCTTAATTTATAGCAGTTCGACTTCCTGATTTCCATATCGCCTATAGATCTCCTTCGTTACTTCTATCAGCCGACATTTTTTCTTAGAATCCCAACCAAATTTCCTTTGGTTTAGTCAGAATCATGACATACTCCTCCAACTTTGAGCCACCTTCAGAAGGTGTTCTAGATTCCGTCGGAGGGTCGACTCCAACCTCTACTCCCCTGCAAACCAGAGACCAAAAACCAACATGAACTTTTTGATCATGACTCATAAATTGAATGACAATAACTTTTTCCAATGGTCTCATTTCATCAAAGGATGTGAGAAATTCAATCATCTCACAAGTATGAAATGTGAACCTCCAAAGACTGACCTAACATATGGAGCTTGAGAAGTGGAGAACTCTATGATCATGTCGTGGCTGATCAATTCCATGAAAGCGTCGATTGACCGCCCATATATGCTCCTCTCTTTGGCTAGTGCTCTTTGGACGGCGGTTCGTGATAACCACTCGGATGTAGGAAACTCTAGCCAAATCTATGTGGTGTCCAAGAAAATCTGGGAGGTGAAATATGAGTCAAGGGCAAAGACCCAGTACTGTAACGACCTTGTTGCTCTATGGATGGAATACACCCTGCACTACGATTACGCTTGGGAGTCTTCGATCGACCTTTCTCTCTTCCAAAAGATTGCAGAAAAAGATTACATGTTCCAATCTCTGGCTGGCCTCAATAAAGACATGAACGAAGTCTGATACCGTATTTTTGGTTGAGACCCTCTTTCTGCTTGCGCCGCTTTCACTGAGATTCGTCGGGAAGAGAGCCAGAGATTTGTCATGCTAGGCAATTTCACTCATGCAGTCGAATCTTCAGCCTTGGTCTCTATTAGTGCTCAACCCACTTCTATGCCATCTCGGGTCTGTCACCTCACTTGCGATTACGGTCACAAACATAACCACACTCGTGACAAGTTTTGAAATCTCCACGGAAAACCTGCACACAAACCTTCAACCAAATCTTTTTGTGGCCAAAGGTCTTATTGCCACAATTCAATTCTACCCTAGTTCAACCGACGCCTACATGTAACATCTCAGAATCCTCCGACTATCTGAGAAATTAGATAGAACAATTGATCAAACTATTTGACGCCAATCAACTCTCCATAGGTTTGTCAATCTCTCATGTCGCCAATGTACTATTCTTATGGCTCTCTCAGTTTTTTCCTCTAATTTGTGGATTATTGATTCTTGTGCCACAAATCATATGACATGATGCTCGCAATTCTTCTAAATTTACTATCCGTGCTCTGGCAAATATACGATAAGAATTGTTGATAACTTCTGTATGAATCCCTTATCTGATAACTCCTGTAGTTGATTCTTCAACTCCTGTAACTCCTTAATTGTCATTCTGTAGGGTGCCTTGGGTATAGGCTTAGAACCTGACAATAGCTTAATATTCAAATCAATCTCTCGTACTGGTGGTAGCCCTGGTAAATCATCCAGTAACTTCACTTCCTTAGAAGTATCTGTCACCCGAGCAAGAAAACCCTGACTTCCATGATTCAACAATTTGCAAGCTTTCATGCAGTTAATTACTATAGATGTCAGTCTTCTGTCACAAGAAAATTTAACTTCTGTCTCTCCAGGTACATTTATTCTAACGGTCTTCTTATTGCAATCAATAGAAACTAAATTTTTTAGACATCTAATCCATGCCTAAAATCACATTGAATTCCACCAAGGGCAACATATTAAGTTGGACATTAAAACTCTTTCCACCAATCATAAGTTTCACCTCACATGATTGATCAACTTTTAGAAAAACGACATTTGGCATTTTAACTGATAGTATCACAGAGTTTGACATAACATTCAATTGCATCACTTTAGCAGTTCATCAACTATAAAAGAATGTGATGCTCTCAAATCAAATAACACTTTTATCGGTCTACTCTGAAGATATATGATACCATCATTAAAATCATCACATTAAACATTTATAATTATCTTTATTAATAATTAAAGTTCTACTTTTTTTATGTATGACGTGACATGGATTCTATGATGCTTAAAGTGTACTGACTGAAATTATTAAAGGTAAAACATACATGTGAGAATGTCAGAGGATTCATTAGCTTCCTGCTGTGATAATGGATATACTTTGGGCTGAACACTTTGCTGAGTCTGACATGCATTTTGCTTCGACTCTGAAGATTTAGTTGCTCTTAGTCTACAATAACTCCTCTGAGGTGGTACAACAATGCCTCTGGAGTCTGCTGGAGCCTTCTGATTTAATTTACAACAATTCTTTGCCATGTATCCTGGCCGGTGGCACCAAAAGCAAGTGTTTGATTCAGACAGAAACTCACTCTTGTACATTTTTTCACTTCAAACTGAGTGCCAACTCCGTTGGATTTAGCATTCTTAGCACTTGTACCAAACCAACTGAAGGACTTCCTCTTAGAGCTCTGAGGAAACCTGGATTCTTCTGAATTCTTCTTCTCTGAATATCCCTCCTCTGAGTAGCCTCCAGATCCAGCTAAATCTTTCTAGCTCTCTCCACCAGAACAAAGCAATCATCAATTTCAAGAGGAATCAAAGGCTATCCAATCACATCCTTGAGCTCAGATTAAAATCGATGGCTCTTCTCCTCCGCACTAGGACTCAACTGAGGCGCATAGTTAGAGAGCCTGGTGAATTCAACTTCATATTGATAATCAAGCGATCACCTTGTACCAATTTGATGAACTTATCATGCATTTGCCTTCTGGCGAATCGTGGTACAAACCAGTCTCTAAAGGTGCTCACAAACTCGCACCATTGAATTAAGTGACTGGCTCTGACACCAAATTTCTCTTGCAATTGTCCACGTCACCATCTCTCTGCCTCATCTCTAACGCAAGTGTGGCTAGTGTAACCATCTTCTCTGAAGGACAATACAATCCGTCTAGGATCTTTTTCACTATCAGCAGTCAGTTTTCAGCTTCTACCGGACCTCCTCTAGAAAAGAGTGGTGGTCTCCCATCCTGAAATAATTTCATGTATTTATCCATCTGACCTCCTCCACTGGAACTGGCCTGAGTCTGAGAGTGCTTAATCAACTGCGTTACCGCAGTCGTCATCTTAGTAAATGAATATGCATTCACAGTAATCTGCGGGAGGTGCATTAACTTTTACAAGATCATCTCTAGCTTCATCTCCACAGATTTTCATATTTTTTAAATAATATAAAAAAAATTATAATTAGATACAATTTAATCTTGCATTCATATCACTTATAAATTAATTTAATTATCCTAATGGCTCTTTCAAATCATGTTCCAACTTAATTGCTCTGATAGCACCTTTGTCTCGATCTGAACCAGTGCTTAGAATTAACTAAGGTTGGAAGAACGGTTAGACGATATTAACATTTAAGTATTCACATTTTGAAAACTTTCAATACATAAAAAAGAGCCACTAATCCACAAAAAAATAATAAATTCTAAATCATCCAGAAATATTAACATCCAAAATAAGATCTCAATCCAATACTAAACAACAAATCAACATTTGAATGAAATAGTAAAGAGACACTATTCTCATAAAAAATACCTAGCAACAATGATCCTCCTTTGGTGAACAAAAGCTCTCCTATCAGACATATCAACCTGTAACTTTCTTTCTTCTGAAAGTAAACATTTAATTTCAACTGTAAATAAAATTTAATGAGTAATTATAATATAATATGCATTAAATTTTTTATGCTATGTTATGCTATCCATAATTGATCATAAGAAAATGCATTTCACTTTATTAAAACTTTAAAATTATCCCTTCTCGTTTTACTTTAATTATTTATTAATTTAACATCTTTAATAGTCATCAAATGATTACCGTCATACCCGAAGGTATCTTAAAAAATGTGGTTGAAAACATCCTCAAAATGTGTTCGAAGATATCCTAAAAAATGTACCGGAAGATGCCCTCAAATTGCACCAGAAGACACACATTTACCATTTCCTTTAATGTGCATGAGTACATTGCATCCCCTGCCAGTACCATCTAAGGGTGGTCATGTATGATTTAAATATTTAACTTTCATTTACCTCCTTTTAAAGACATTAAAAATTATTTTTCTCTTTTCTCTTTCATTTTTTTTTCATTCTTAATCTACAATATGCATAAGAACATAAAATATTTGTCTAATGCATTAAAAAAATTTTTATTTCATAAATTTTAAATTTAATACATATAAGAAAATAATTACTCACCTTACCATAGCTTGATTGCCACACAGACATCTCTAAGCCCTGACCTTCCAAGCTTAAATGTGCTTCAATCTAAAATTGTAGTTAAACATTAATATTTTATTAAATATCAATTCTTAATCAAATTAAACTTTAATTTAAATATATATATATATATATATTTTTAAATCATGTCTTTTTCCTCAAATCCAAAGGATTAGTCAGCTTTCTTTCACCTCTTAATAGTAATAAAGTTTAATAACACTAATTAATTTAGCTAATTGCATCATTAATTTCATGAGTAACATACGGTTTAGCATTTATCTTATAGGCTCTTATAGGCTTTGAGATCAACTCCAACTCCTCCCTTGCTTGCTTCGCAAACTTCTCCTTCAAAGTCGAAAATAATCTATATCAAAATCTTGATTCAATAAAACTTCTCATTAATACTCATTTAATTAAACTCAAACTCACACACACATGACACACAATATACACATAACTTTTTTTATGAAATAATATATTAATGAACTTATAACAAATATTAAACATACCTTTATGTATCATTCTCTGGCTTAATCTCCCCCACTGAGCCGCAAGATCTCTTTCTTCTTCCTTCAATTTTGTCTCACCCCCAACAAAGCACACGAGTTTCAACTCCCTCCCCCATGTCTTCTCTTCTTCTACACGCAAGCATGACAAATTGGTCCTCTCCTCTGTTTCTCCTTCACAAGGCTCAACAACCCTACTAGTTGCACGCAAGGTTCGTTGCTTCCTTGCGCTGCTTCGGCTTCTCTCGCGCATCTTTAATTGGGGCTCTATCAAGGTAATCCCTCAACGCCACTTCTTTCTTCATTGACTTCTTATTCCTTGCCTGACTGAAAAGCCCTAACAGTACGCATGGTAGCACAATCCTCTTCTTTTCCGCACCGAAGTTGCTCCCCTTCTCCTATGACTGCTTCTTCTTTCTCATTGGACTTCTTCCTTACTCAGCTAGGGCACGCACTAGATAACTTCATTCTCCCTCTCGAGCATTCATTTGATAGTTTGTATGATGTAATACGACTCTCCAGTTATAACCGAATGGGTGCTTATCTTGGTACCTATTCAAATTTATTATTATCATTATTATTTAGTTTATTTATTTATTTACTTAATATCAGTTATTACAACTTCTTTTTCCATCTTGAGCTCTATTTGAAATTCTTATTTTGTTATACATCCAAGGGTTGTTTGCGATCAATTTTGTTTTTTGTTTTTTATTTTGTTTTTAATAAATTGTTTGTTTGGTGTTTTTTTTCATATTTTTATTTTTTGTTTCTAAAAATAAATTAACTTATTTTTGAAAATACTCAAAACACAAAGATACTATTTTTTTTTTTATGTCAAGTCAAAATACAAACAAATAAATAAATAAATAAATGAAAATTTAGAACAAAAAATAAAAATGATCCCAAATGGCCCCTTAGGAATTTATTCTTACCAGTTCATCTACAAAATACTTCGTAGCAGGGCTCTCATAATATTTAGAGACGGATCTCTAAGTTCATGGGGAATTCAAGAGAGTAAGCCATTGTTTACCGGTGGAAGTATGCAACTATCTTCAAATTATGAAACTCGAGAGGTGATGTCAGCATGTTGGGCTTGTACGTTTGGTAGCAAGGTTGCTGTTGGATACAGCAATGGAGATCTTTTCCTTTGGGCCATACCGGTGATTTCAGATATGCACACCACAATGTTAAACAAAAAAGAAGTTCATGCAGCTTCAAACATTCCTTATCTGAAGCTTAATCTTGGTTACAAGATGGACAAGATTCCTATTACATCGCTGAGGTGGGTCGTTTCTGATGGACGGGCCAGTTTTCTTTACATCAATGGTTTCTCTGAGTCGGGAACTTCCTCACTTCAGGTGATTAGTTTGTATTTTTGACTTTTTTGTGATTCAGTAGCCCTTGTGCCGTTCTCTTTCTTACCTTACTGTTTAACCAACATGGTTGATGAATTATTGCAGTGCTAGATAAATAAATAAAATACAATACCTGGCTTTTTCTTGTGTACTATTTTCATAAAAAAATTAAAATAAAAAATAAAAAAAAGAAAAAAAACGCCAGGTTATATATATATATATATATATATATATATATATCTAGCACTGCAATAAATCATCAACCATGTTGGGTAAACAGTAAGGTAAAAAATAGAACAGCACAAGGACTATTGAATAAAGGCTTCATGTAGCCAACTCCACTTAGCAGGATAAAGGCTTGTTTATGTTGTTGATGTTGTTAGTACTATTTTAATAGATGATTAGTTTCAAAATTTTCAAATATCTATGTTGCATTGTTTTCGCAGGACTTGGAAAATGTGCTTTTTCATGGAATAAATTAACAAAGCATTCAGATTTTACCTTTAGTATCAATTTAATTCACCGTAAGCTTTTATGCTGTATCATGTCTTCAGTTTAAAATTTGGTTATATAGGATAAAGCTTTTCCAATAACTTGTATTTGGTGCCCCAATTTTTGAGTATGCGATACCTAGTGGCAGACAAGAAGAACCTATTTAATTAGGAATATGGCTGTGCTGTTTTATTTAACATGCTTCTCTGCTGTTATTTCCACTAAGGAGTTAGTTTTATTGCATAGGTTATGATTCTTAATGATAACTCTGAATCCCGAACTGTCAAATTGGCGCTTCCGTTAACTGAACCATGTATTGGGGTGGAAATTATTTCAAGTTACAGTGATAGCAACAAACATAAGAAAGATTTCCTCGTACTTTTGTTGAAATCGGGTCACCTATGTCTCTATATTGAACCAGAAATTGAGAATTCTCTTTTAAAATGCCAATCTAAATCAAGTCCATCGCTTCCAAGCCATACAATTGTGAAGCTTCCTTATTATGAGTCAAGGATTACTGCTGCAAAACTTTATGGAAGCTTCTTGTCATCTTCAGGTCTTACAGAAGAGGTACTTCATAAGAAGTCCGCACGTTTGTTATTTTTATCAAGCTAAAATACTCTTCTTGAGCTTTTATTTTCATGCCCTTTAGGATAATCTTTTCATAGCCAACAAATTTCCTCACTTCCTCTCGGCTGATAAGAGGGAAAATTTGGCACATTCAAGTACCCGCTTTGAAGGGTTTGCAAAGGCTAGAAGTTTATACATTACAGGACATCTAGATGGAGCCATAAACTTTTGGGATGCATCACTCCCAGTTCTTATTCTTATGTTATCAATTAAACCGCAGGTATTTTTTTTATGGCCATTTATATTTATATGTGAATGCATTTTTAGTGTTTTGACCTTTTTGGTCTCACCAGTGCTGGGGTTTCAATTATAAGCAATTCATTTAATTATTTTGTGATATATTTATGACTTAAATTTCTCATGTTTTTGAAAATTTATAAGCAAACTGAAGAAGGGAACGCTTCAAGTAATTTTTCTGTTACGGCACTCCATTTTGATTTCTCTTCCCAAATCCTTATTTGTGGAGATCAGAATGGTTTGGTAAGTAGTGAATATTGCAGCAATTTATTAGCGGTTGCGACTCTTTTTAACTCTTATGCTTTGCTAATTTCAGGTTCGCTTCATTTCTTTCAAAAAAGAGCAACTTTCAGCAGACAATATGTTTTCTTATCTTCAAGGTACTCTTTAAAAATTGTGGATATAAACATATATTTTTCTCTTTTATAAATTATAATGAAAAGATTATATGAATTGCCGTATGCTTTATACTACTTCAACATTAAAATCCTGAAGGAATGAATTTTTGTTTGAGTGCATTATGCAATTGTCAATGTGCTGTATTGTTTGCCGTAAGCCAAGTTTTGCATTCTTAGCTATCTTTCTTAGCTGATATATTTGGTAATAGTTAGAACAGTCTAACATTAATCATTTGGGAAGGAAATTGATGAGCTAAATGGCTATTTACTTGGCATCTTATGATCAACTTGAGTACACTCATCAGATGGATAATATTTTAGTGCCAACATTATGAACTTACTCTATTATACTGCTGTTAATTGTCCAAATTCCCTACCGTTGAGCTTTAACATAACATCCAAAGGTTGATTGGGTCTACCATTATTATTTGTACTTGATGGGCATATTTGTCATAGATTTTTTTTTGGTGTTGAATTTTGCAAATCAAAAGGTTCATGGATCGTATTTTCAAGAGCACCATTCCTCATTGCTCCAATGTTGTAAATCACTTTCCTGTCTTATGGTTTGATTTTTACTGCAGAGCAGTTTGACATTGCATTTTGCTATCCAGTGCCAAATAACAGCAATTGCAAGTTCTAATTTTTACTCCGTGCCTTTAAAATTAAACAAATGCACTTAGTATTTTCTATCTTGAAATTTATAATTTAGGATGCTTCTATTATGGTATTTTTTGTGTTATTATCATGATGGCTCATAAATGAAAGGTGCAGCCAAATTGTCAGTACTCTTTCTTTTTTCCTCCGGTTCATTTGATATAATTTTCTTGATAACGCACTTTTTTAATGACGTGACAGCAAAGCTGGGGGCTAACTACAACATTCAGACTATAAAGCTTAAAGGCGCTATATTATCCCTTGGTGTTAATACTGAATCCAATCATCTTGCTGTCGGAACTGACAAAGGATATGTATGTTGTTGTATTCATTTCTATATTTGTCCTTTTTATTGCATAATATACAATTTGGTTTATTGATAGTAAACTCAAGGTGACACTGTTCTAAAGTTCTTAGAAGGTGTTTATGCATCAAATTTAACTGGTAGGTGGTTGTGAAATAGCAAGGGATACATAATATGGGAGGTTGGCGTAGTTTGGAAGGGGTAGAGAATGTTTGGCGGCTGTCCAAGGTGAAAACAGCAGGGAAAATCACAAAATCGTAGTCCTGATGAGGCTCAACTGCTGGAGGAGATAGACCATTTCAAGCAAACTTCTCAATGATTATCGGCTTAAAGTGAATCTCAATTAAATGGATAGATTTTCAAGATTAAGCTCGAAAGTATAATTGAATATATTCAATTAATATAAATTATGAACTTAATTCTTTGTTGGTGAGATAGAGTTGAGAAGGTTTAAAACTATCCAAATCTCTGATGATGCTCATGTTCATATGCCTATTTTCAAAATTAAGCTTCAAAGTATAGTTGAATAACCTCAATTAATATAATATATGGACACAATCATTTGTAAGCGTGACAAAATTTGCAAGATTTAAATTCATCAAAATCTTTGAGGATGGCCGTGTTGATTTTAAATCTTAACAAAAGCGGTTATTTATAAAATCAAAATTTTTAGATACAAATCTCAAAATAATCATTTGAAATTCTGTCACTTTTAAGTTAAAATTAAGTCTCATACACCCTCCGTCATTGTTTATCAAGAGTGACAAATTTTAGGTTAACTCGAGCTCACAAAGAGCTAATGTCATATTTATTGTAATATTATATATTTACTCAAAATAATCTCATGACATTAAAGTGGTAAGCTGAGTTTTATATCTGCATTTTTTTTGCCAATAAACTCCACAAATAAGGCGATTATAATTAGTCCTCTAACAAGGTGGTTTGGCCAGACATACACCACAAATGAAGCGATTACAATAAGAGCCTTCTAACTATGTGGTTTGACCAGACAAACTCCACTATAATACGATCATGAGTATAACCTTGATGTTTGCAATTCTATCATTAACTCCACTATATTACGGTCATGATTATAGCTCATATGTTTCCAAATGGTTTCTTGTCATTTGATATTGTGAATCATAGGATATATCTAATAGGGTACAATTTGTTAGCTAACGTTGACTTGAGTAAGTTTTCTTAGAGCAACATCCATCCCAGGTTTATAAGGTCCTCTTTGATGAAACAACCAATGATCACTGATAAGGATTCATCTATCAGGTTTGGATGCCTTGTTTCATTTCCCCGAGTAAGTCGAAGAGAGGAAGAGGAAGCGAAGAGTTGAAAAGAGGGAGAGGAAGCGAACAGTCGGGGATGGCAATGTGTATTTTTCGTTTTATAAATTGTCGGTAGAGGAGAGATCGGGGTCGTTCGACATGCATGTATTTATTTATTAGTATTAGTTTAAGATTTAGTTATATATATTCATATTTAATGAATTAATATGGGATTATGCAAATTTAATCAAAAAGCTTAGAGGAAGAATATTGGATTTCAGAATAAATATAATTTATGAAAATGAGGGGGTAAAGATTCATGCTTTTATTTATATAAATTATTCTAATTAAAACGATCCTAAACTATTATATCCTATGAATTTAATAAGTGATTGAAGAACATTTGATTTAATAAGAGATTTTGGATTGAGAAAAGTTGGCTACATTGGCGGTAAGGATTTGTTGTTTTATTTCTGTAAGTTATAAAGTTATATTAAATTCTATGAAGTAATATTAATAAATATAATTTATAAGGCAATTGAATTAAAGAACCAATGAGATCGAGGCCGGATTGTACAAAAGAAGAAGAGATAAAGAGGTAAGAGTTGTGTTTATTTAGTAATCTTGTATTGTCAATTTAACTATAATTTGCTACATATTAATGTTAGAATATTATGAAACATAACCATGCGAGAAAAAATTAAGTCATGAAAGAGAATTTTTAAGAATTTGGATGAGATAATTTCATAAAGTGAATTCAGGTGAGTACTTTTACTGTTAGATTTATAGTAATATTTTGTTTCTTCTCGATCAATTGAATTAGTAATTATTGATATCTATAAAATTCATGTATCAGGTTATTCTGATTTGTATACTCTACTTTTATTGTTTATTTCTGAAAGTTAGGTCTCCTTTTAGTAAAAATTATAACATGTTATTTAAAGATACATATATTATATTATATGTCATAAGATAAATATATGAATGATATTTATTATATGTGTGTGTGTGTGTGTGTGTGTGTGTGTGTGTACATGATTGACTATGATAATGTTACTTCTTTATGGTACTAATTGAGGAACTCTAAGGTGCTCGTACATGTAAATGAAAAAGGATATTGATATTGAAATATCTTAATAAAATTTTAGACGGTGCTCCTGTGACCGTTGTACAAGATATAAAATGATATAAGTATGTTATTGATATAATAAAAGCTATGAATAACATAAAATATTGTAAGTGATCACATTCTTAAACTATCAAATATTTTATAATAATTTATTGAAAAAATTAACTGACATGCATATTATTATTTTCTTATATTAATAGAGTTTAGGAGCGTGAGTATTCATTGAATTTGGTTAGCATACTGTAATTTTAAACTAACTTTTCAGATGTAATTGATTGATTAAAAGATGAGCAATAAAATATAATTTTTATAGAAGACACAGACATGTAATGAGATAAATTAATTGTATTGTTTTAATTTAATTTCTTGAGTTGCTCTTTTATTTGTTAAATATTAGTTATAGAAATAAATATAGAGAACTTAATTCTCACCATCCGGGCGTCTGTACCCACTTTGGTTAATTCTAGGGCTCAGGTCGGTTCGTGACACGGGTTGGGTCGACTACCTCCTCTGCATAGACTAGGGATCATAAAAACCCAGGACACTGAAACCACCGGTTGTTGATCGGGTTAATCATTATTTCCCTTACCATTTGCTTTAAGTTTGCATCGATAAATTCTATAATCCCAAACTTAAGTTTGTTGTTATTAAATGTTGGGCGATCAAACACCTTAATGACTAAGAGCTAAATTGAAAGTGTTCTTCTATTATTGCGGGGGAGGGGTGGGGTGGGGTAATTAACTAATAGGGGTTTGTACTTATTGAAAATCTTAAAAAACATAGATATATACTTCACAAAATGAGAGTGAAATCTCAAGATTTTATCTTATCTAAATTTCATCTGTTTTCTGAAAATTTTATCTTAAACTATATAAAACTCTCTCACTCATCATTATTGATCTTCGAGGAAGGTCGGGGCGCAGTTTTTTGGAGCACAAAACTATAAAAGTTTCAAGAAAATTATGAAATTTAGAACTTTTCAAATGAAGACTTTTTCCCTCAAGCATAAAACATCAATTCATTTATCGAGGATGATAGATTTAAGATTAATCTAAACTCATAAAAAGTCTATGTTATATTATGTATATCTTTTTTATTACTCTTAAGATCTCATGCTAGTTAGAGCAAGACGTGTTTTCTAACTATGAGATTTTGTTGTTAAATGACATCTTGAAAAAGAGTGATTATGATCGGGGTTCTTTAATTAGGCATTTCACCGCAAAATGACACAATTACATTGCATTCACAACCAAGCCCATACTTTCCTTAATGATCCAAATTTCTTGAGTGATGAATCATGGAATGTATTTTATAGGGCATGAAGCCCTTTATTAGCTATGATAATTTTAAAATTGTCCCCTTAAACCAACATTCAATCCCGTTTAAAAAGTTTTGTAGTCTATGACTACTGATAAGGATCATTTGGTCAAATTGGGTTGGCCAACTTCTTTGACCAAGCAAATTAGATTCCGTCACAACCCGGGATGATAGAATCATATGGTCTTGATTGGTTTCATCATCATTCCCCCTTTATTTGCTCAAAGCTAAAGATGATAAATTTTCTTAAGCTAAAACCAATTGCTTCCACCATATGTGAAGCCCTTAGCACATAAATGCTAGCCTTAATTGAAAATTGTTTCTCATCATTGAAACAGTTAATTAACCATTGGATTTGCATATATAGGAAACCTGAAAGAAGTTCATAAAATACTTGAAAAATTAGAGAAACAATTCGGGATATTATCTTATTTAAGATATAATGTAGAGTTAGACCCCAAAAAACTCTTTCAGGAGAGTTGGAAGAAGTTTTTGGAGCTTATGATGCACAATTGAAGTGAGAAAGGGGAGAGTTAGGAGCATGTTTGGTGCGGCAAGACATTTGGGGCAAGCAGAGTGTAGGTGTTGCAAGCAGCGAGTTGAGCGTAGGAACGGGGCTGAGTGAGATCGGAAGTAGGTGGGAATGGAGGAAAAATGTGTTCGGATATCTTGACTTAAATTTAGTCATAATGCGCTTTATAGCTATCATATTTGCTATGAAATGTGTAATATAAGTTTTTATTGAATAATCATGATTTGCTCATCTCTAAAAAAATTTGGACGGCTTTGAAGCAAATTTAAGTCAGGGTATCCTGAACCAAGAAATTTTGTCACGGGTGAGGGTTGGAGTTGGGGGTCGGCGACGGAGATTAGGATTTATCATAGTCTAATACCTAAATAAATGAGAGAATTTCTTTCAGGGAAATGAGTACCACGTGCCAAGGTCCTATGAAATAAATCCATACCATTTGCTATGGATTGAGCACCCTATTGATATAAAAGTTTCCGTACTAACAGCTTTAACAATGCTTAACAACTTCCATAATATATTCACAACTGCAACCAAAATGTTGTATTTACAAAACGAAACCCTTGTCCACAGCGTGCATGGGAGTAATGGATTTATAATTTTTAAAGCTTTCTCACCTGTAACTACTCGTTCATATGTTAACTTATCTGCAAAACAATTGTTTAGTAGTTTCCTTTTTCTTAGTGAGATTTTAAACAGTAAGCGCCGAGTAAATACTTTGGCGCCAAACAGCGGGTGGCTTGAAGTAGCTGTAATTAAATTTTTGTAGAAGGAGAAAGTATAATGAGTTTTTTACTCTAATCATGGAAGTTTTCAATGGCATTTTAATGAGAAGTATTTTTTTGATCATTATCTTTGAGAAATATAACACAATTTTCTAAGGTTTGAGCTCGCCACTTCTAAGTTTATCTATTGTACCTTTCAGGTATTTGTTGTTGATACAAAAGGAGGTTCAATTTTATACCAAAAGCAATTCCCCACTCAGATCTATACCGGCACCATAGCTTTGCAGTTTGAGAGCTGCAATCATAATGGTTATTTGAAAAATGTTTTGTTGATTGCTACAGAGGACTCCTCGGTCATAGCCATTGAAGAGGATACGGGAAATGATATGAACGATAGTGGAATACACCCCAAGAAACCATCTAGATGTTTACTAATGCATATCTTAGGTAAGCGCTTTCTTGTTTCTTTTACTTGCTCCATACCTTCTCTCCTGAAATAAATAAGAGAAAATGTGTGTTTATCTGTATGTGTGTGTGAGAGAGAGTGAGAGAGAGGGTGTGGGAGGCTGGGGTGGATTTTCACACAATTTAATGCTAGCTGCAAACAGTTAGATATTGCATAAAAATGATCTTAATATATTAGAATTAAATGAATATATGACACTTAATAAGACGCAATGGAGAAAAATGATTCATGTAGCCGATCTCACTTAGTGGGATTTAGGCTTGTTATTGTTGCCGCAAATAATTTGGATTAAGAGAAAGAACAATGACGGTAGTCCTCAAAAATAATTTTATCCAATGAATCATTCTAATGACCCTCAATTAATCCCTAATTATAGAAATTGGGTTACCAAAATAAGGCTAAATATTTTTAAATCAAATTTAATACTTTTTAAATTAGATTTAACCCTAAAAAAGTTTGGATTTAAACTTGAGATTAGCCAAAAAAATGTTGGTATTAAAAATATTGAATTCAGATCTAATATTAACAAAATTGATAATTCAACTTAATATAATAAGTATAAAAAATATTATGAAATTTGGGCAAAAATAAATGGGGGCCTAAAAGGCTTCTTTCGAAAATTTATATGGTTCAACTCATTGGAACTTGTAATTGACCCATGAGAAACTGAATTTTTGTGGATTATAGATAGATAGAGAGAGAGAGAGAGAGAGATTGATAGATAGATAATAGATCGGTAGATGGTAGGGAGAGAGGGGGAGATAAATGGGTATATATATAGATAGAGATACACTGAGGGATATTGAGATAAATAGATAGATGGATAGAGAGATAGAGTGAGAGATAAGTAGATAGATAGAGAGAGAGATATAGAGAGATAGATAAATAGATAGATAAACTCATAGATAGTAGAGGGATAGATAGATAGTAGAGAGAGATAGTAAATAGATGGATATAGTGATAAATAGTAGATAGATAGGTAGAGAGAGAGAGATAAATTGAGAGAGATAGCTTTTATAAAGTTGGTCAATTAACAGAACTGTTGTGTTGAACAGATATTTCACCGGATGGAGAATGCACAGCTCGCTTGAAGGAGCTGAACCAAGAAAACCATGATAAGGACAAAACGATGAACCAGTCATTAATATTGCTTTGCTCTGAAAAAGCTGTGCGGCTTTATTCCCTGAATCATGCAGTCCAGGTGAAGACGATATTCTTGTAGTATCGTGTTGAACTTCGTAATTGTTGAGATACTATAGAAATTAACTTTTATGAATTCTGATGCCTGAGTCAGGGCATCAAGAAATTGCATTGCAAGAAAAAATTAAGTGGCCATTGTTGCTTCGCTTCAGTTTTTTCTAGCCATTCTTCTGAGATTGGCCTTGCACTTCTCTTTGCCAGTGGAAAGTTGGAGATAAGGTCAGTGCTCCTATTTCACATCAGCTTCTGTTTATGTGTCTAATTTTTTTATTTGTACTTTATACTGTAGTTTTTCATTATACCCTTTCGTCAATTTTGTTATGATTTAGCCTCACCGGTTATTGTGTCTGGCAATTTGCTGGAACTATTCACAGACTTACAAAATTGAGCGCCATCTTGAACAAAATGACAGTGCTTGCGGGCGCACATGATCGTTTCTTTCCACGTAAAATCGCAAAGAGAACCTAGCTCAGATCAAGTGAATAACAGCTCTACCTTCTTTGCATAATTACTTAATTAGCAAGCAATAATCAACAGATTATCAAACAGAAGCTTAAACCTATTTGTTCCTTTCCATTGCAGAACTGTTTCGCATGATTACCTATGGTTGACATGATGGCAATCAATTATTAAACAGTTCTGAGCACCATTTTCAAAATCGATTAGATTTGTTGCTGGCTAGCAAGTCTATAGAAAATATAATTCTAAGGTTTACTTGAATAAAGTTAGGGGTTTTTTCTTTTATTTTTATTTTTATTTTTGGCGAAGAAACATAGGAAAGTGGCAGAGTGGGGAATATGTAAATGTCATAAAGATAGTATTTTGAAGGGTAAATTATGCGTCGGTCACTGAGATATAAGATTCAGGTATGCTTCCCTTCATTTCACCCTTTGAGAAGCTCTCCATTTTATTGCAGAGTTATATGAACACTTCCCTTTGGTCCCTCAGTAAACAAAATAAATAATATAATATTAAAAAAATATTATTCTTTTGCCCTTTCTATCTCTTCATATGATTTTACAGACCTCCATGCAAGTTTTTGTATGTCTCCAACTCATTACTAGTGTGGGATCTCATGCTAGCGAGCTCTTCACATAGAGAGGAGAGCAAAACCATTCATGGTGCATTCTTGTACGGGACACAACGTAGCAGGTTATGGAGTTTTGTAAACATGTTCTGTAAGTAATGTGGGGGAAAGTATTTGCGCTCTATCTTCCTTTTCTTTTTTGGATCATATGCTGATTTTACTCTTCCCTTCTCATTTTCGAATGTGCTTCAGGTTCTCTCACCACAATGAAGCATTTTTCTTGAGCTTGATGGCTACCAATTTAAGTATGTTGTTCTGAAGAACATATTTGTACTAAAAAATTTGCTCCTTTGTTTGAAGTTACTCGAGAACTCATATGTATCCATGCGTCTGTCAAAATCTGATAAATTCACCTTTATCCCAAGATTCTAGCTTATCCTTTGATATTCCATGTCGAATCATCAAGATAGTGGCTCTTCGTCATTGGAAATTGCCTGGTGGAAGAGATTCACTTCCTTCTCTCGATCTAATGAGTTACTGTTGTGGCTATGGTATCATCGGATTATCTCCTCTCAAAGACGGCAAACTTATGTTGCATTTGAAGGATTTTTTTTATGCCTATTTTCCAAGGTAAGTTCCTGTACACCTTGCTGAGTGTTTCTCCTTGGTTGCACTGTGTCATTTTCTCCCAATCATGTTTTTGGCGGATATAGGATTGCAAAACAAGGTTGGTCCGGTGACACGGGCTTCTGTGGTGTGGCCCTGTGGGGTGCTTGGGGTGCATCTGGATATGTTCGGTCCAAACTTTTGAGGGGTCGACCGACCCTCCAAATTATTGAAGTGCAAACTAATTGGAGTGAAGTCTCACTCCTAGTTATCTAGGATTATTTATTTATTTTCATTGTTGTCTAGGGTTAGTTTTTATTGTGATTTATTTTGGGATAGTCGTCAATGCCACCCGCTCCCTTCTACATTGTTTTCCCTTCACCCTCGTTGTTGCCTCTTGTTGCCACCCCAGGAAACAACCTGTTTCCACTTGGCCCCGTTGCCTTCCAACCATTCCACCCCTTCTAGCTTGCTGCCGCCTCCCGAGTCTACTCTCCCATCGTTGTCCTTCCTTTTCACCACCTTCCCCTTGTTGCCGCCAACTTCTAACTTGCCATTTGACCCCCCTCGCCTCAGCACCAGAGGTCCAAACCTCTAGCTGACACAATCTCTATCCTAGTTCTAGTATTGTGTGTTGTTTTGTTGCAATTTCAGATGTCTGCATTGTTATGTTGTAAGTTTTAATTTGAATTCATTAATAATATTTGCTTTCTGATGGATGTTTGTTAAATTTTGGTATCATTTACCAATACATAATCCAAACTTCACCCAAAATCATTCCTTCTTGCTAATTTTTCAAGTCAACCATCCTAAATTGTTTTTCCCTGCCCTAAATCAGCCCCACACAATTTCTTTTACTTCTCAAACTTAAACACTAGCCATGTCATCAAAGAAATAAGCGTCAGAAGCCGTTACCATGGAAACGATGTAGCGGTAAATCCGCCAGCTTCAACAAAGACTTGCTGAAATTGAGGAATGTAGCCATGGAGAAATAACCTTCAATCGTGATTGTGGGGGCTGAAGTGGAGATGGAGGAAAATATGAATCCCTTCCATATGAATGATTCCAATGAAGAAGAAGATAAGCCACAACGTTTTGGTATTCAATATCAGAGGAGGTCGAGACATGGATTGACTTTTGGAGGGCATGGAGATATGAGAGTAAATGTAAATTTATTAGATTTTGAGAGGAGAATGAATTTGGATGACTTCATCAAGTGATTGTAAACTTTTGAGGATTTTTAAGTAGTGGAAATGTGCTGCCATAAAACTGAAGAAAAATGTTTCTTTGTGGTGGAAAAATTTGAAGAGAGTGAGGCAGAGGGAAGGTAGGAGCAAGATCACTATTTGAGGGAATAAGGAGATGCAGATAAAGTATCTACCACGCACTACTACTAGGATTTGTTCTTGAGACTACATCACTTGCATCATGAGGAATTGTCAGTAGAGGAGCTCACAATTGAGTTTGAGCAGCTCATGCTGAAATCTAACATGTGAGAGCTATAGGAGAATACCATAGCCAACTATTTGGGAATTTTGAAGTCATTCATCAGCCATGCCATTAAGTTGTAGCTTTCCTAGGCTGAGTGATGTTCAAACATTGACCCTGAAGATGGAGAAATAACAAAAGCTGACCGGGACCTATTAGTCATTCAAATAGTCACCCACAGGAGGAGACAACATAAGTAGGCCCGAGAAAGATGTGAACATTGTCCACAAAGATGAGAGAGTTGATCAGAGTAAAGAAAGCCCGAGAGGAGCAGGGCATCCAGCACAATGACATTATGTGTTTTAGATTTCATGGGTTCAAAAACATTGCCTCCAGTTGCTCTACTACTAGAGTCGTCTCCTTCACTAAGCGTGGAGTCTTAGAAGAAGTGGACAGTGGTACTGGAGACAAAAGATAATGAAGATGTGTAGAAGTACCAACTTTCAACTGATGAAGGTGAGATGTTTTAAGTTCGATGAGTCCTTCAGACCGATGCTATGAGAGGCCGACAGTAGCTTCTCCACATCTTTTATACCCGCTGCACTGTGAAGTGAAAGGTGTGCAAACATTTGAAGGAGGAAGGCGTCAACGTCCAGACTAGTGCGAGGAGAGCCGACTGCTGGGAAGTAGAGTGATTCGATCGCAGGAAGAAATGTCTGTGTGATTAGGTGTCCGATAGAAAGGTTAAGTTAAAAGAATTTTAATACTAATATTATATAACAGGACTAAAATGACTCATCCCTAACTACTTATTTTCTACATGTTTTAAATTTGTTTTACTTTTTTATTGAGTCTATCTATATCTTTTTGTTGGGGTATTACTATACTTGGTATCATATGGATAAGGGTGCCACTATTGACCCTCTCATACAACATTTATGTATCATTTCTTTTTCAATAAAATCAGCACTGGGCTTTTCAATATATATATATATATTATATATATATATATAAGATTGCATAATGAAAATTTCATAGTTTATTTAAAATAATAAATAAATTTTATACCTTATTACGCTAGGCTTCCAATTTTGAAGAGTCGACGTTAATGTAAATTAATCGAGATTAAGGTGAGTATTAATGTTCTTATACTATGTAATATTTTACTTTTTCTAGACCAAATGCATTAATTAGTACTATCATTAGTTATATTGAAATTACTGTAAATTTGAAATTTAGAATTTTAGTGAATTTTTGTTCATATTGTAAGAATGATATATGTGCATGGTATTATTTAAATTATGATAAGTATTGAATGATTTATAAGTATAGTAATTGCTATGTAAATGAGAAATGAATATTTAGGGTCTGTTTGGGGCAGCTGCAGCTTATCCAGCTTCTGCTGATAAGCAGCTTATCCTGATAATCTGCTGATGACCAGCTGATCCGGATAAGTTGTCTGGCTGTTTGGTTAACGCGTCTGGAAAACAGCTGATTGTGAAAAATTGACCCTTTTGCCCCTGGTCTGAATAAGCAGTTCAGCTGTTTGGTTTGTGCGTTTTGTAAACAACTTATTTGTAAATTTTTTGAGTTGAATGAATAATCTGTGTAGCAGAATGTTATTTTCTCAGATGTCTAGAAATGAAATTGCAAAAAAGTTTAATAATATTTATATAACTCAAAAAAGTTGTGATTACATCAACAAAACATAGTGATATAAAGGAAAGTTCAATACACATTTATGGAACTCTAATATGGATTATAGAAAGACACCAAAAAAAAGAAGAAATAACATGTTAAAATTACAAGGAAAAATATGACAATATTGAGTTTAACATGTAAAGTCACATCATGACGAATGTTGCCCGTTTCTGATACCTCTAATCCCCGAGCAAGCGTGTCTTGATGGGGTGCGGTATACACGGAAGAACTCGAACCATATGCGGTGGTCTCCTGTTGTGGTACTCTCGAACTCCTAGTACCTGTGTCCAATTGGGATATCGTAGAAACAGTTGTATTGTTCGTCCACCTGAAGAATTTACAGTCTTCAGGTCCTTGTCCCCACCGCGGACACCTGTAAAATTGCCTCCCGTAGCTATGTGTCTGGCGTGACGTTAACAACAACGACGGTAGTCCGCAACGACACATCACTATCTCG